GATGCAGTAAGAAGCAAACTTTAGTTTCGTGATCGAGTGTTGAGTCTGAGTATCATGCACTTGTTGATGCCACCGCAGAGCTATTATGGCTGCATCGGCTACTTGCTGATCTCGGTGCGCCTCAGTCGTCACCTACTGCCTACATTGTGATAGTCAGAGTGCTGTAAAGATGTCTCATAATGATATGTTTCATGAGCGCACCAACCATATTGAGATTGACCGTCACGTCATTCTACAAAATTTTGCACATGGGACTGTGTAACGTGTTTCAGTCTCCTCTACGAATCAAACTACATATGTCTTCACGAAGCCTCTTCTTCTCGGTTGCTTTTGTTTACTTCTTAGCAAACTCAAGTTGATCTCAACTATACGACTTTGAGTTTGAGGGAGTGTGTTAGTTATGTAAAGTGTATTATTGTATTGTAGGCTATGGCTCATCTATGTATTTGCATATATGTGTACACATTGTTAATGTATATCCAGGGGCGGAGCTACCTCAAAGATTTGGGTGGACTCCAGTCCGGCCTTAATATTTCGGCTTTGTAACCTTTTTATCGGTAAACAAATATTTTAGTCCATGTTACATTAGATTAGTATAGTATTAATTTTATTTTGGCCTAAAATAAGTTAAACTTGTTTTACATTAAATTAATAAATTATATATTTAAACATAATTTAAGTTTCTTTCCACTTTTCTTTTAGGTTATTATGTCCCTTTTATGTCGATTTTGTGTTTATTTTTTACTATTTTATTAAATAAAATTTATTTGAACAATTTTATTCAAGTCAATATTTGATTGTGTTAGACTTTCATTAGAATACTTAGTATGTAATTGAATTTATAGATTTCACAATCAAGTTTATATATTTACTGAATTTTTAAATAAATGATAGTTGACTATACGAAATTTACTACTAAATCTCGTTTGCTTGTCTGACAAATTCAATGAAATGACCATGTACTTTAAATGACATGTCATATAACAAGAATTACGGAACTATTACACTGTTTTAGTAGTTCTTTTAATAAATTATGTTGCTATTTTTTAATTAAAATTCAAGTACGTGAGAAAATTTACCTATGAAAAATTTTAAAGAAAAATAATGAAATAATTAAAAATAAATATTTGTCATATGTATAAGAGAGTTGTTAAAAACTCAGAAGTTTTTGCTAAAGGAGAGTCATCTCCATATAAAACATGACTGACTAGAAAGTAAAATTAATTTTATTTTATAAATGCAACATTCGCTTATTGATATTATTTATTGTGTGATTCATGTAATTTAATTAAATTTAAAAATTATTTTCATACTTTAACTTCTTTATACATGTGTGTATCTAAATTTTCATGGCTCGGTTCGTTTAATAAACAAATAAAAAGTTACGTCTGGGTTCAACTCATATAAACTCAGTTCAAATCATTTAATAAAGTTTTAAACCTAGACCAAAACCCAAAACTCTAACCGAATTATTGGTGAACACGTTCGATTTGACTTGTTTGATAGACAAGCTCGATTACTTGGTCGAGTTTGGCTCATTTAATTATACATTCAAGTTAACCTCAAATTTTTACTAGTCGAATCAAACTATGTTAGAGAAAAAAACTCAATTCAAATAAGAGTTGCATTCTTGGGTGAAAAGTTTGTCTGGTTAAAAAATAAATAAATAAATAAATAAAATGAGTTTGTTCGTTTTAGTTGAAAATGTGATGTCAGTTCAAAACTTTATTTTGTCCGTGTCTTTGGCCGCGCTGGTTAAAAACACTTCAACTTGATCATAGTGTTCAGATTGCGACTACGTTA